AGAGAGAGAGAGAGAGAAAGAGAGAAAAAAAGAGAGGGGTGCACACAAAGATAGATAGATATAGAGAGAGGTAAAGAGAAAACCGAGAAAAAAGAATTGTGGGGTAAGCATAATATGATCAGATTCCCCTGATGAATAATGCAAACTGTCCCTCTGTATGATCACCCTTACCACGACCAACCTGTCAGGGTGGACAGATCAAACCAGACAATTTCACCTAGCAACAAAAAAAAAAAAGCAACTGCACCCATAGTGTTTTGTTTTGTTTGTGTGAGGTAAGGAGTAAGAGAGCTAAACACTAGAGTAACAAGCAGAGGGAATGAACAATTGAGGCAATTCGAATATTCTTATGTCATAGCTATTGTGAAGTTGGACAGATCGAACCAGACAATTTGTCCTAGGTAAAAAAAAGCAACTGCGGTCATAGTGTTTTGTTTGTGTGAGGTAAGGAGTAAGAGGGCGAAACCCTAGAGTAACAGGCAGAGGGAATGAACAACTGAGGCAATTTGAATATTATTTTGACATAACCATTTGAACGGTTGCGGTTCCATCCCATTTTGACAGTTGTACAAATTTGAGAATGAAATGGCATGGGTACAGTTAGGCCTATTGATAGGCAAATAATAATAATAACAAAAATATTAACAATGATAACAATAATAATAATAATAATAATAATAATAATAATAAATAATAATAATAATAATAATAAAAAAATAAAAATAATAATAATGATAATAAAAATAACAATAATAATTTCAATCTTAATAATAATGATAACAATATTTCTACGGGGGTTGGAGAGAGGGTGGAAGATAGGGGGCCATTAGTTTACGAAGATGTTAGTCATCTCTGTTGGTATTTCTTGACCAACAAGGCAATTTTCTTGTTCAAGGTGGATATATCAAAGTAGTTTTGAAGACTAGAACTATTTCTTTAGCGTTCTGAAAGGCGATCTTAAAGCTATGTGATTGAAAAGGAATGTCACTTTATTTTCTACTGTTCAAATTTTATCAATCAAAGGAAATTGTCCATCCCTCCAAGCCTGACTCGCCCAGTTAAAGAAAAATGCAATATTTTTACCCATGATAAAAGATATGTGCGCGGCTTGTACCTTTTCATTAAGGAAACCTTTTAAAACAGATTAATGGCTGTTTTATCTGATGTGATGTAGTCAAATGGCCTTAAATAAACGTATTTACTTTAAAAAATTTGCGAGATATAGCTTTGCCTGGGTGGTAAACATAGAGGCAGTACATTGCACTACTACTACTTCTCTTTCTGAGAACGTGGGTGGTTAGCGGGTGCTCTGGTGTGGTTGGCTTCTCCTTTCCAATCAAACATCTGTCGTCCTTATCTCCCCTTCTTCCTTTTTATGTTTGTTACTCTCTTGTAACCCATCTAATCTTCGGGCGCTCATATGACCTTATGCAGTTGCGAGCGCTGTAAAACCTCCATTAAAATTAAACTAAATCTTTGAGAGTCAAATATACTGGCAAAAGACAGTGAGGCAGATTGTTTGAACGTCACGTGGGAAGTTGGTGACTGAGGCAGCGAGACACAGAGACTTAGAAAGATCGCAGCGAAGAGTTAGACAAGAGAGAGAAAGAGAAATAGGGAAAGAAGGCGGAGAGAAAGAGAGAGACAGGTAGAGAGAAAGAGAGAGAGAGAGAGAGAGAGAGAGAGAGAGAAAGAGAGAGAGAGAAATT